AAGAATTTGGCCTTCTAGTGGAACTATCGGCAAAACTTTTTTCACTTTGGATAGAGTAAGGGAGGGTTATAATAATCCCTGTTGGGATTGCCATCTGTGTCCCATTGGGGAGATTTACCTTCACTTCCTGTCCCATAGCCAAAACACGAAGCGAGAAGAAATGCCTGCAAGTTAAGGGAATCCCTTAGGTCACCAAAGCAAATGTCCCCATTGGAAGATTTCCCCTCTATTACTTTTCTGGTGACCACGCAAACTTTGGGATTTTCATTTAATTTCACTTTCTATGATAATGGTAAACAAGACAAATAGGGTGAATGTCCCTCATTGGGCACAGACAGCACTAAAAACCTGACCGATGTTCTAATCTCTCTCCACTCTGTCCAAAAAAAAAAGTTTTGCCTTTAGTTATCATTTCAGTTTTACTTTCTCATGCTTGCAGTAAATAAAAAAACAACAAAAAAAAACTTTTAAAGCACTCTTGAGATCTGGTCTGGGAATTCTTAAGATCCTAACGAAAATGCCAGCTGTAGCTTTAAACAAGCTTTTATCAGTCTCTAGTACTTCCAAAGTCTGCTAAAAGCTTGTTTAAAACAGAACTACATTGTATCTGAGCACCACAAACCAAAAGTGCTATTTAATTCATTTTTAATATTCAAAGCAAACTCCCTCATCCATCCATGTCTCCATGCTTTATTTTGCTGAAAAATCACTTAGAAAAACACCCCCTAGCATTCCTGACTGTGGCTATCTTGAGTAGATGATTCATGTAGCAATGACTTTCTGGAATCCATCTGCCCTTAGTTCAAGTATACAGGCAGGAGGGTGTGCTTAGCTAAGAAAACCCCTCCTCCTCCCCTCCTGAAGACTCCTGGGATGTATGGCATCATTTGCCTAGACATAGAAACCAGCAAGTGACTAAAGAAATGAAATAAAATTGTTTAAAAAAAGTAAACATATGATATGCTTTCCTATCTATTTACTAATGCTGACGGCATAAGGATTAAAATACTCAATGTTGACAGAGAATGTTTCAATGAAGTTTCAATGATAAAGTCACCACTCTCTTTAAGATCCCAGACTGCATCAGAAAGCTACTTTAAAAGCCTCTGGAATTCTGCTTGAAGCTTGTTAAATGCTTTGTGAATGCTGGATGAGTCTATTCAGACTAATACTTACAAATTACAGTGGTTCTAAAAGCTCAAGGTTTTTTAAGTTCATGTATTCTATGTATGAAGGTAAAAAAAGCCTTCTGTGCGCAGCGGCCCCCCAATCCTTACCTGAGCCCCCTCCAATCTAGCGTCATTCTCTACAGCCTCTGCGCCTGAGAAAGCAGCGGGAGAACATTAAGAAGAGAACATGGGGGGCAGGAGCAAGCCGTGGCTCTATGTGTCTTATGGACCCATAGAACAGCAGCTCGAGGACAAGCACGCAGCGGTGACCCCAGGGCGAGCGTCTTTCCCTGTGGGCACTGCTCGAGGGGGGGGAAGCTAGAAGCACCGGCGGGGACCCGAAAAGAAGAGGATCGGGACTGCTCTCTGCAAAATCTCTGCATAGTGCAGGTAAATTTAGACATTTGCTATTTAAAAAAAAACAAAAAAACTTTAGTCACTTTAATACTAAACGATACCTGCATCTATGAGGCCTTTTTCATATTTCCATTGAAGGTGTTATAGGCTGTTGTGTCTGTGCTCCTCATGAATGGACTATGATAGTGGTCAGAATCTGGCAGAAAGTAGATTAAAAGTTAAGTGATGACTCTCAAACCACAAGCTAGTAGAATAAAATTTCTCATTCAAGTCCTGGTACTTCTACAAGACTTCCAGCTTTACCTCCCTGATCACTCATCTTCCCCCAGTGATTAATCATGTGTCAGGAGTGTGTGATGACCTGTACATGCTCTGAGCTGTCTGTCAGTAATCATTTCCTAAAGCCAGGATTCATCTACAGAGTGATAACATACAAGAAGATAAGATAGGTTGCTTTAGTCAGATCCACACTACAAGGAAGCCTAGGCTTATTTCACTCATAGTCCCCGTTGAAGAATCCTCCTTAACCATCACTTGTTATTTCAACAAACAAATGATTGCTCTCACTCTGATGTTCGCAATACTTCATGTGGTGCAATCAACATTTATATATGCATGCCAGACCTATGGGGGTGGGGTCTTTAAATTTCTATACTATTTTTATTTACATTTATTTTATTTTTAAAAAAAATTTTCATTTAACTTGTTCATCCCTTGTGAGAACTAATGGCAGTGGCAGGTACTCTGTGTAGAGACATCAGGGTCCAGTGATGTGCAATTCATATTGCCAGACACCTGGGACATGCAGTTACGGGCGTTGGGCAGGTGGTTTTTATTCAAATTTAGCCCTGCCATGGGCAAGTAGCAGGGTATATATTTTTTGTTTGTTTTTATTTGCGGAGTGGACACCGGTGAAGAATTAACAGATCTTCATGCTACACCAGAAATAGCGGGCTCTTCACTCATTCATGCTGATGTCCGGTGCTGGCAGTCCCCTCTCTGGTGGCCTCTCACTAGCTCAGTGGTTCCCTCAGCCCGGCGGCCCCGTTCAGTCCTGGCCACTCCCACATTTCTCTTATTCTCCTCCTCCTTCTTGGACACGCTGACAAGCCACCCTTCCCGCAGTCCGCACCTCAGCACTCACTCGCCTTCTCTCCATTTGTATCCCTCTGTCTGCATACTCTCTACTGCAGAACACACACACATCAGGCGGCCTCAGGACCTGGAACACCATACAGGACATATCAATGACAACACGCATCAAACTCTGTCCTACAACTTCTTATCTACTCCACCTGCCATATCCACACACAGCATTGTACTTTGTGATTGCTGAGCGTAGGGACAATCACAGGTGTCATGCTTAGTGTGGGGATGGTCAGAGGTGTGATTGCTGAGCATAGGGATGGTCAGAGGTGTGATTGCTGAACATAGGGATGGTCAGAGGTGTGATTGCTGAACATAGGGATGGTCAGAGGTGTGATTGCTGAACCTAGGGATGGTCAGAGGTGTGATTGCTGAACCTAGGGATGGTCAGAGGTGTGATTGCTGAACCTAGGGATGGTCAGAGGTGTGATTGCTGAACATAGGGATGGTCAGAGGTGTGATTGCTGAGCATAGGGATGGTCAGAGGTGTGATTGCTGAACATAGGGATGGTCAGAGGTGTGATTGCTGAACATAGGGATGGTCAGAGGTGTGATTGCTGAACCTAGGGATGGTCAGAGGTGTGATTGCTGAACCTAGGGATGGTCAGAGGTGTGATTGCTGAACCTAGGGATGGTCAGAGGTGTGATTGCTGAACCTAGGGATGGTCAGAGGTGTGATTGCTGAACATAGGGATGGTCAGAGGTGTGATTGCTGAACATAGGGATGGTCAGAGGTGTGATTGCTGAACATAGGGATGGTCAGAGGTGTGATTGCTGAGCATAGGTATGGTCAGAGGTGTGATTGCTGAACATAGGTATGGTCAGAGGTGTGATTGCTGAGCATAGGGATGTTCAGAGGTGTGATTGCTGAACCTAGGGATGGTCAGAGGTGTGATTGCTGAGCATAAGGATGGTCAGAGGTGTGATTGCTGAACATAGGTATGGTCAGAGGTGTGATTGCTGAGCATAGAAATGGTCAGAGCAGGGCCAGACTGACCATTTGAAAACTCGGGCACTGCCCGAGGGCCCGTGATCAGTAGGGGGCCCCATGAGATGCCCTTGGTACCTTTTTCATAGGCTTTTTTGAATTTGGGCAAGGGCACAGGGGCCCCATGATCCCCTATTGCCCAGGGGGCCCCATAAGTTGTCAGTCCGCCCCTGGGTCAGAGGTGTGATTGCTAAGTGTAGGGATGGTTAGAGATGGCATGCTGAATCTAGGGATGGTCAGAAGTGTGATTGCTGGGCGTAGGGATGGTCAGACAGAGATGCACAAATCCTATCGCCCAATGCCTGGGACATGCTGTTCCAGGCGCTCGGCAAGTGATTTTTTTTAACATATGCAGCCTCAAGAAATGTGAAAAATTAGCTCTCAAAATTAAAGAAAATAATAAAGAAAAATAAATAACTAGATCAAGTGTTGTCAGGGTTAGTGTTAGGGCTAAGGTAAGGGTCAAGGGTCATGATCAGTAAATTTTGGGTAGATTTAAAAAACAAAAGAAAAAAATTTCTTAAATCAGTATCAGTGTCAATGTGCTTTAGGCAGTTTAAAAAAAAAATTGCAAAAAATTGTTTCTAGGCCCTGCTAAGGGTACAAATAACTAACATACACATATGTGGTACCAGAGAAATCGTCAGGAGCAGGAGAATTTATTTTGGGTTGTTCTCTGGTGAAAAATTAAAGTCATAGCAAGAAATATACCGCTAAAATTGATTTGGCTGCTCAGCATGCGCTTGTACTGAGCACCAAAATGCTTCTATGTAGCCTGAAGAAATAAAGGGTTTTTTTTCTTCTCACTGGATCCAGCGCCTCATTTACTTGCTCAGCAGATGCGCTTAATACTGAGCATTAAGACAGACCAACACTCCTCCTTCCTGACGAGCACCCAAACCGTGCTCGTCACCCTGCAAGGTCTCTCCCCTCCCTGCTAGTTCCCCAGATGTTGTGCTAGAGACAGGCAGGGAGGTAATGAGGTATTAAACAGCCTTATTTAACCACTTGCCAACAGCCCTATAGCAGCATTGCGCAATTGCATTTTCGAGTAAGGTGCACACGCAAGCCGCGTGCACGCCCTACCTGCGCTGCCATTCGCGGCTGCGGCAGTCAATCACTGGGCCCCAGCTAGTAATTACTCGCCGACGCCCCGTGATTTACAAGGATCTCCGATGGGGAGGATGACTGTTTTGTTTACTAACAATCTTCCTCCCTGTTAGCACGGGCACATTGCTGTGGATAGCGGTGCACAGCACCGCCATCCACAGCAGTGTGATTACAGTGAATCACACTGCCCCTCAGTAAAACACTCAAAGCACAGAGTTAACCCTTTGATCGCCCCTCATGTTAACCCCTTCCTGCCCAGTGCCATTAGTACAATGTCAGTGCTTTTTTTTAGCACTAATCACTGTATTGGTGTCACTGGGGATGTCAGTGACACCAAGTCCGTTCCCCCCAGTGTCAGAATGTCCACCGCAGTCCCGCTATAAGTCGCTGATCGCCGCCATTACATCCCAGTATATACCGCCATTTGTAAATGCTATAACTTTCACACAAACCAATTAATTTACACATATTTGGATTTTTTTTAGCGAAGACATGTAGAAGAATACATTTTGGCATACATTTTTGACAAAATTAGATTTTTAAAAAATTTTTTACTGGACATGTTTAATAGCAAAAAGTAAAAAATATTGTTTTTTCTAAAAAAATTTAAAATGCACAGGCGATCACATACCACCAAAAAAAAGCTCAATTTGTGGGAAAAAGGATGTACATTTCATTTGGGTGCAGCGTTGCATGACCGCGCAGTTGTCAGTTAAAGTAACACAGCGCCGCAACGCAAAAAAAGGCCTGGTCAGGAAGGGTGATTAAATTACGGTTTTTGTTAAAAAAAAAAAAAAAATTTTGCTTCAGGACAAGTAGATTGTCGTAAGGGACAAGTAGATTGGGGCATCGATAGAGTCTCTTGGACAAGTCATTTTTTTTTAAAAACGTCACACCTGAGGGTCTAATAGACCCCTAATGCTTTCCTGGCCCCTATGGCAGCTCATCAAACACAGATCTGTTGATCAGCTGCTTCCCTGGCTGTAACGGCAAGGGACATGTCAGCTCTGAAACCAAAGTGATAAAATCCTTGTCACTTCTGTCTTCATTAATCATAGAGATGATGGGGGAACGGACTTTCCTACATCTCCTGTGTGGACAGCCAACCCGACCGCTTACAGCTGATGATGCTGGACTTCCTACAGCCTGTAAATGGGATGGGCTCTGTCATACATGCTGCAGCATAGAATGCACACTGTGAGATGTTCACAGTGTGCAGTGATTATCAGAGCAATTTATGGAAATGCTGGAATTCAGCTTTACATTATTTGTGTCAGACTCCGCATCCACATGCTTTTGCTAATACAGTATGTCTAACGTGCTGTAATGTCCACTGCGAATGTATGAAAATAGTTGACACATGAAGTATGGGTTGACTCTCAATTTTTCGAATCCCTAGTGGTAAAGAGTTTAGTTATTGCAATAGCTGTATATACATTTATATATTTGTACTATGTGCATCCACCAAGACACATGTTGATCTGCATTCTGACACATCACGCTTCATCTCCCGCTTTATCTAACTTTTTATGGAGTTGTACAGTATGACTCATAGCAGTTGCTGTTAGTGAGATGTTCTGTCCCTCCTTCAGGATTGTCTGGCTACTCTGAGTGTTAAAACCGCGTTCCACTTCAGTAAACCCATCTGATTCTCTATTAGACTGGGCGTTATGTGAATTGACCTCAATTTATTTGGTATTTATTTCTACACTGAACAAAAGATTAATGTTCTGTGTCTGGTGGTTTTGTGTGTGAACCTGGCTGGATGTGTTAGTGCTGGAACACTGCCTGTGTTACTTTAGTTTGTAATAAATCTGCGCCCATTGCAGCACTTGTTATATATACATAGTGATAGGACAGTGCGTCATTGCTGGAAGATATGTGCGATTGTGGAGACATTAAAGAAATATTATCAACTGTAGGCCTTCAGTGCAGTCAAGGAGCACAACGCTCTACCCAAGCAAATGGAATATTCAGGCATAAATTGAGTGTCCGATGTAAAAAAAAAAAAATAAAAAACTATTGCAATACAATTTACATCAAACATAGGCAACCAATGTTCTTGTAAGTGCTTAGAAAAATTAATTCTGGGATTTTGACCTCTTTGGTGCCTGGAAGGTTGCGGGTTGGTGAAGCAGAATTTCCACAATCCCAGAAAAGAGTAATATTAATCATGCAGAACTCTGAGAAGAACAGAGGAGAGTATAGCACTGCATGGAGTATGCAGCCTGCAATATCCAGTTTAATATTGCGGCAGAACCTGGTAGTAGACATTTATACATTCTGGTATATAAAAGAGGACAAAGTAGTTCAGGTTCAGCAGCCAACAAGTAAAATTGGTTGGTGAACTGCTAAAATTACCTCGAGATGTCTGCAGCTGTGCGAACATCAGAAATTCCACTTGTCTGCAATCTGTGTTTGGCCCCTTTCACAATAAAGCTCCGATCAGGTTCACTAGATCAGATCTTTCATTCACCCCTATGGACCGATGGGTGTAAACAGACTTGTATACATTTACACCTGTCTACCTCCAATCCAATCGGGGATCCATCCCCCTGTGTCTAGGTGGATCAGAAGGCAGTTGCTTGTAAATGGACAGCGAAGTCCATTTACACCCGCCAGTCCATAGAGAAGAGTGGGCTCTGATTGTGTCTGCTCTGCATAAGTCCCGGTTCATACTGGTTCAAATTAATGGGCTTCTGTGCCCATGTTCCACGCAAGGAAAAGGTGCATACACTTTTTCCACAATGCATCCGCACGGAAACCGCATGGTCTTTTTGACCATGCAGTTTCCATTCGGTTCTCACATGCATGATCATGCTGCACTCTTTCTGAATAGTACCCCCCAGCGTCTCGCAAGAGAAACACAATGTGGCTGCCGGAACACGTGTGATTCCTGCACCTGCAACCAGCCTGCAGCCGCAGGGCTCATGTGAACCATTGGTAAACTGAGCAGACACGGACGTGTCATCTGCATGCTCTGCTCTGATCAGCAGGGGATCAATGCAGAGTATAGGAGTGCATTACGAACAGAGTGCTGAGTTCAGTATTATGCTACATACAGAGTGCAGAGTACAGGAGTGCGTTACTTAAAGAGTGCAGGTTTCAGGGGTGCGCTATGTACAGCGAGCAGGTTTCAGGGGTGCGCTATGTACAGCGAGCAGAGTTCAGGGGTGCGCTATGTACAGCGAGCAGAGTTCAGGGGTGCGCTATGCACAGTGTGCAACCCCAATTCCAACAACCCTCCCCCCAAACCCTCCTCACATCTCTACTCTCTCTCCTACCTGACCCAACTCTGCTACCTCCTGTAGGCAGCTCTAGTACCTCCCTGTGTAGACGGCTCTGCCTTGCTTTGCAGAGAGATCGTTTTCTTTCTAAGATTCTGGAGATCTGTCCCTGCCATGCCATTAGATCTGGGAGCAAAGCTGTCCCTTGTAAACACAAAAGACTTCTGTGTTTACAAGTGAAAACGGGGAGCGGGAGCGAAGACTGAGAACCGGAGGTGGCGGCGGAATTGAATTCTACCTCGTTTCAGCTGCAAAACTGGATGGAAGGGCCACATGACAAGGCTTGGCGGGCCGGATTTGACGTGCGAGCTTTGTCTTTGACATATGTGCATTAGAAAATGAAATGAAATAGCAAAGGAAAAGCTGCAAAGCGTGCAAGGAATCCAGGAGCTTGTGGAAAGAGACAGCCAGCAGACAAACAGAACCCAACAACCCAAAAGGAGATTTGGCAAGTAAGCTTATATTGGATTGTCAAATATAACTATTGTTTTTATTATTACAATGCTGATGTTATAAAATGAAAGTGAATGCTGTGAACGTAGAACTCCTTTAATGTATAATTGAAGAAAAAACTCATGGTGTAAACTGATGTGCAGTGGAGCACAAATACACTTAGCAAAGGGCTCAGGTGTTCCAACGTGTCTCTTATCATACACTACAATGAATCAGGCTATTAGTTAGTACCTACATGCTGAAACTTGGAATCCTGAATTCTACAGATAGAGATCTGACCAACCGATATATAGTAGGTGATTAGTTTAGCCTCCTATATTTTGTTTTTCTAGAAATTAATGAAGTTAAAACTAGGAAAATCTCAATTACACTGGAAAATTATATAAGTTACCTTACATTATACAGAAAAAGTGCTAAATTTGTAGGCCAGCGTGTTCTGTTGAAAAACAGACTTACTGTATGGATCACCAAATAAAAATAAAAAGCCTAAAAAAAAGTAAACAAATGCAGCTACCACATATAAGAATTAATAAATGTTTGCTTTTGGGTGTAATAACACTTTAAGGATAAGTTCGCCTTGGGAACATGTTTTTAGGGTGGAACATGTAACATGTTCCCACTCCTGCAGCAGCTCCCCAAACCCCTCTGCACTCCTTGTGACAGCAGGTCAGGGATCTGTTTGAAAAAGAACGCAGCCGTGCGGGGCTCCACCCACATGACTATGTCATTCAGAGAGTTCTATGAATGAATATTTACAAATACCGACAGCCTTTTCAACTTGTAGTCCTCAATGAACTGATAGGGCGCTGTTGAGCGCTCTAGGTAGTTCAATGATTCTGTCAGTGTGTGATTGCCTGCCTGTACGAGGTAAAGGCACACAGCTTACATGGTCTGCAAGAGCCCTGCACTGCACTTGCCATCTGCTGATAGAGGATGCCATGCTTTCCAGGCTCCAAATAATTAAAATAATGAATGCACACTTTTTACCTGCAAAACGATGTGCATTTATAATTTTTTTTAAAAAAAGCTGAATTTGTCCTTTAACCATTTGCCGCCCACCCTATGGCCAAATGGCGAGCGGCAAATGTCATCAGCGTTCCGGGTGGACGCCATATGGCGTCCTCCCGCACATGCGCAGATTGCGCTCCTGCAGAGCGGTGCAATCTGTCACCGGCCATGTACCTCGGACACGGCCAATGACAGATCTGAGTATCGGCCCCGTTACCGGTACCATGTGACCTGCTGTGACCAATCACAGCAGGTCACATGACAGTTGTATACAATGGATGGCTTCATTCATGCCATCCATTGTATACTAGTGTCTAGCTGTGAATGGTCACAGCTAATCACATGCACATGTCATGTGATTCCCTGTGGCCAAATCACAGCTAAGCACAAAAAAAATAAAAAAATCCCTGAATGAATCGATGTCATTCAGGTAAATGCTTGCTATATATAAAGTAATTCTTTGCTATAAGCAAATTGTGTAAAAAAAAAAAAAAAAAAAAAATACTGATCACTTCCCCAAAGTAGTACAATGTTACTATGGTAACATTGTACTACTTTGGTCATAGTGAAATATGAAAAAAAATCTTAAAAAAAAGGAAAAAAATTTAATAAAAAATAATAAAAAAAAAAAAAAAAAAAGAAATTTATATATTTTT